CATTAGCACAGATCAGCAGTAGAGATCCTGGGTTCATTCTGCAGCATCATAATCAATAATAACAAAAATAAACAGTGTGTACAAAAGAAGCAATACTTAGCTTTTAATATTTATTTATTTATTTATTTATTTATGGTACCAAGGAATGAACTCAGGGACACTGGACCACTGAGTCACATCCCTAGCCCTATTTTGTATTTTCTTTAGAGACAGGGTCTCACAGCACCTCACTTTTGCTAAGGTTGGCTTTGAACTCTCTTTTTTTTTTTTTTTTTTTATTTATTTTTTAGTTCTCGGCGGACACAACATCTTTGTTGGTATGTGGTGCTGAGGATCGAACCCGGGCCGCACGCATGCCAGGCGAGCGCGCTACCGCTTGAGCCACATCCCCAGCCCCGGCTTTGAACTCTTGATCCTCCTGTCTCAGCCTCCTGAGCCACTGGGATTACAAGAGTGTGCTACTACGCCTAGCCTAGCTTTTAATTTTAAATATGACTTAGAACAGAAAGGGGCCTTACATTTTTCAGTCCAACTTTTGAAGAAAAGCTAATAATCAGCCCATATATTGTTAAGAGTATAAAGTTCAAAATAAAATAAAAATTATTAAGTATATTAATCTAGACTTACGGTAGAATTTTATTAGCCTATCAGCTAATGACTAGATAGGCAATAAAATGACTTCTGAATTTCACAACAGCCAAACTATGGAACCAGCCTACGTGTTTATCAATGGATGAATGGATGAAGAAACTATGGTTTATATATATAAAAGAGTTTTATTCAACCATAAAGAAAAATGAAATTGTATCATTTGTAGGAAAATGGATGGAACTTGACACCATTATGTTACACAAAATAAGCCAAACTCAGAAGTTCAAGGGATGAATGTTTTCTCTCATATGGGGAAGCTAAAGAGGAAAAAGAAAAGGGGGGTTGGATCTCATGAAAATCAAAGGGAGATCAGTAGAGGAAAAGGATCAAGGGATGGGAGTTGGTTGGGAAAGTGCTAGAGAGTGATATTGGCCAAATTATAATCATACTGTTATATTGTGTGTATGTTCAAATATGTAACAACAAATTCCATCAATATATACAACTATAATGCATCAATGAAAAAAATGTGGAAAGAGAATTTAAAAATCTTTATAGAGAAATCCCAGAAAAACACAAGGTGGTTAAAAATAAATAAATAAAAAGTAAGACAAAGCCTTAAAAAAAAAAAGACTTCTGAATTAACTTCATTTTCCTTAGATAACTGGAGTTAAAGAGATTTCTAGATAGCTAATCTATAAAATATTTTTACACGAGCCTAACATATCTATGACTATAAAAGATAATGACTTTACTAAAACGCATATATATTCAGTTTTAGTCTTTGAAGTAATAGAAAACAAAAATACTCAATTCTCTCACCAAGTGTACCTGACTACTCTTTATTTCTGTATATTTAAAAGAATGGTATCCCATTGAAAATGTTCCTGTATATATTTAACTATAAATTGTCAGATAAATAGGTAATCAATCCCTTCTCAGTGGATGGAAAACAATCATTTTCATAAAATATCAATATTGCCAGGCATGGTGGCACATGCCTGTAATCCCAGCAGCTCAGAAGGCTGAGACAGAAGCATTGTGAGTTCAAAGCCAGCCTCAACAAAAGGCGAGGTACTAATAAGCAACTCAGTGAGACCCTATCTTTAAATAAAATACAAAATAGAGCTGGGGATGTGGCTCAGTGGTCTTGTATCCCAAGGTCAATCCCCAGTACCTTCCCCCCACGCCCCACAAGTTAAAAAAAAAAAAAAAAATATATATATACACACACACACACACACACACACACACACACACACACACACACAAATACACTCCTTAGGACTGTGTTCTGAAAAAGCCAGAGAGTTTTTTTGTTTTGTTTTGGTACCAGGGATTGAACCTAGGAGTGCTCAATCACTGAGCCACATGCCCAACACTTTTTTTTAGAGACAGGATCTCAATGAGTTGCTAAGTGTCTCTCTACGTTGCTGTGATTGGATTTGAACTCAGATCCTCCTGCCTCAGCCTCCTGAGCTGCTGGGATTAGAGGTGTGCACCACCATGCCCGGCCAGAGGTTTTAAAAATGAACTCATTTTGTTGTTGTTGTTTTGTTTTAGTTTCTATACACAAAATAAATTTTAAAAACACAAAGAGATAAGACTTCCCCCCCCCCACAAAAGATACCTCTCTATGATTTGAAGAATGTTATAAGCTAGTTGGAAAGCTGAGGTAGGAAGACCCAAAGTTCACTGTCAGCCTCTGCAACTTAACAAGACCCTGTCTCCAAATAAAAAGAATTAGGGATGCAGCTCAGGGTGGCGTGCTGCTGGGTTCCCTCCCATATTGGGGACCCTTAAACATCAAGGAACTGCTCTATCTATTCACATTTAGAATAATAAACTTTGGCCAGGAGATTTAGTTTATTTATACTCTAATAACTGCCATAAAATTAATGACTTTCTTGGGAAAAAGCTGAGGGACCTACTTTATAAAAACTGCAAAAAACCTAAATATTGTAGTTCATCTTTAAAATTTACCAGAACATATTACATTTGATAAAATAGATAAGGTACTTTGGTTATTACAACTTGATTTGTTGGTTTCATCTATATGGATTTATTGTGGTACTATTCTTTTAAAAAAATTTTTTTAAAGATTTCATGTATATGGAAAAAGAAGAATAATTACCAAACACCTGTGTAATACATTACTTAGCTTTCTCAGACCTTTATAATTTTCCTACCCATTTGGTATTTAATTTCTAAAAATAAAATGTGTAAAATTCAAGTCAAAATTGGAAAAAAAAATAATCTCTTAAAACTACTTCATTTTCAAAAATTATTGTTAAGTTCTAGCTATGAGTTTATAAAATAACCAAAGTACTCTAGCAAAAACAGAACTTCCATTAAGTCTTCTGGTTTATAGTACTTTAATAATTATTTTAATTCTCTTACTATATACCTGACTTTCTCAAGAGATCAACTGTGAAAAATAGTAAGAAGAGATGGCAGAATATTAATAAATGACAACCCCAAATACTCCTTCTTTTGTTATTTCAGTTGAGTGTTTCTACCAGTTATATTCTTAAGAATTCCACCTCAAATTTAGGTGAAAAAGAGAAGCAGCATTAAATCATTCATTTGTTCAACATTTATTAAGCACTTACTAGTAACTACTGGGCCTAAGTGTTGACAGGTGACCAGGTTGAGACATCATCTCTGATTTCAACTGACTCAGAGACTAGTCAGTTTCAGGTGTATGACTTCATCCATCATTCATCCAAAAATATATCTTAGGATACCAATAATTTCTCTAGGTGATGCAGATAAAGCACTAAGCAAAACAAAGTACTTGTTCTCACAGTGTCCATTATGGTAAGGACAGACAAGGAAATAAAAACATGTATCAAGGATCCTATCTATAATCCCAGCTAATCAGGAGGCAAAGCAGAAAGATCGCAAATTCAAGGCCAATCTGGGCAATTTTGTGAATGAAACCCTGTCTCTAAATAAAAAATTTCAAAAGGTTGGGTATGTAGCTCAGTGGTAAAGCACTCCTGGGTTCAATTCCAGCACTGGTGGAAAAATATCAAGGAACTTTAAAAATAAAAAGCTAAAAACAAAGTGAAAGTAAAAATACAAAGGGGTCTGGGGTTGTGGCTCAGTGGTAGAGCGCTTGCCTATCATGTGTGATGCACTGGGTTCAATCCTCAGCATCACATAAAAATAAATAAAATAAAGATATTGTGTCTATCTACAACTAAAAAAAAAATTAAAAGAAAAAGCAATCTTAAAAAAAAGACAAAGTGATAGCAATTATATATAAGATAAACACATTCATATTTGTGTTGAAGACATAGTGATCAAAAAATCTTTTATTAATGTTCTTAATTGATTTGAGAGACATCAATCATTTTCACATCACCAAATTAAAGGAGGTTGTCTCATTCTCCATTTTTTTTTTAAACATTTCTCTAAAGACTTGATGTTGCTGATCATCATTATTTTAAAACTACTGATCTGCCTTTCATGGTGGCATTAACACAATCACATTTAGGATTTAATTGAGATTTTCCCCTACCCAACCAAGGGAAGGAGATTTTAATTGATGTGAAAACTGGACAATACCTTGAGAAAGGCTTATTTTATTCTTAATTTCAAATAGTTTTTAGAAGAGTATCTACCAATGTGATGACATTTATTCAAAATACTGAAGAGTAACAACATCAAAAAGAAGCACCTATACAAAATATTTCATAAAGCCCTTTCACGTTTTTTACTTCATTTAATCCTCATAAAATGATAATACCCTAATGAGCTAAATAATATTTCATATTTATACCCTAATAAGAAAGATAATCATTTCAGATTTAAAGACCTCATTTTTCAGAATAACATCACTAAAAATGAGATTTAATGCTGTATTTTTTCAATTTTTGGAAGATAATTAAGAAAAACATAAGAAATATCTATAATTCAAATATTAAAAAATAACATTTGCTAACACTTTGGTGCGTTTAACATCCCTTCTTCTATCCCTATTAAGTTTTAAGTTTAAGAGTTTTTTTAATTGCTTCACATTAATTAGACAATGTTCTTTTTAAAAAAGAAAAAAGTTTGTTTCTTATTTAAAAATAAAGAAGGATGGGCTGGGTCTGTAGCTCAGTGGTAGAGTGCTTGCCTAGCATGTGTGAGTCATTGGGTTCAATCCTTAGTACTACAAAGAAAGAAGAAGAGAGGGGGGAGGGGGGAGAGAGAGAGAGAGAGAGAGAGAGAGAGAGAGAGAGAGAGAGAGAGAGAGGGGAAGGTAGGTGAATCACATTGGTTAAAATGACTATGAAATCAAACAATTTTAAAAAACTAAATAGAATTTCAGAATGACAAGTAGAAAAAATAAGTATCAGTAAAAATTTATATCTGAAAAGTACATGGACCAATGATTATGAAGAAGACTGTGTTCCCACCTGTTCAATCTCTTTGGTTTTTGATGCTATTGCTTTAGAGCGACTGGTTAGTTGACTGTCTTCAAATAATTCTGTGCCATCTGTTGTATTTGACTCAGGTTCTTCTGGATGGTCAATGAATAATGGTGCGGTGGATTCAGCCTTTAAAAAAGAATTTTGCAAATCTTTATTTTTTTAAAAAGACTTAAGAACATTTCAGATGGTTGTGTATAAGAACTAAGTGGTACATTATATTAACAGAAAGTTATACATTTAACTTATTTAAAGAGAAGAAGACTGCCAATTTCATTACACATAATAAGCATATGTAAAAAGGATTAAAGAAAAAATGAATGACACTTTTTAAATTTTAGGTAAGATAAAGCCTCTAGGCTTAATTCCATTCTAAAATTAATTCACTCTATATTAAGATACAGATAAAAGATTTTCTCCCCATGGCTCTTCTTTAAGCAATCTATTTATGGAACACTGAAGGAGAAAAAGTTCAACTGAAAGTGAGAGGTATGTGTACACATAAAGAAGTATGACAAAATGGAACACAGAAAAGGGATCCACCTCCAGAAGTTAAAACACCTGACTCTTAAAACTAAGGACTTATTGATATCATTAGAAAATCCCACAAAGCAATAATGATTACTTATATTTTAAAACAACAACTCTACAATGAATAAATAATCCTAGCATAGTCTGGAAATCATTGCCTATCAATATACTGTCAACTGTATCAAAAAAGGAGAAAGAATTAAGTAAGGGGATGTGCACATTTATGCATATACATGCACAGGTGATCCACAGAAGGATACTATCCATGGGAAAAAAATCATAAAAAAATTTTTTTCCCCCAGTACAGGGGATTGAACTCAGGAGTGCTCTACCACTGAGTTACATCCTCAGTCCTTTTTATTTTTTATTTTGAGATAGGGTCTCACTAAGTTGCCCAGGCTGGCCTCCAGCTTGGGATCCTCCTCCCTTAGCCCATCATGTTGAAATCTGGCATGGTAACTGTTTTGGAAGTTGAGAACTTTAGTTAGTGATTAGGTGGGTTTAATGCTTTTAAAGAGGAGACTTTAAGGAATGATCTTGTTCTCTTTTGCTCTTCTACTACGTGCCCAACAGCCTTCTTCCCCTCCAGAGAATGCGGCATTCAAGGTGCCACATCTGGAATCAAGACCATGCCATTGCCAGACACAAAAAATGCTAGCACCTTGATCTTGAATTTGCCAGCATCTAGAACTTTAAGAAATAAATTTCTGTTCATAGCAGATTGCCTAGTCTTGGGTATTCTGATGCAGCAGCACAAAAGTGACTAAAAGATGGGCCAATACACAAAAAAATGTTAACTGGGGAGCACAAGAAGCATATCAGAGCAGATATAAGTTTTTGTAAAAACAAAAAGCAGTAAGAAAAAAATAGCTAGGTGAGAAGGGACACACTTGTAATCTCAATAACTCAAAATTTTTAAAAAAATTTTTTTAAAAAAAGGGCTGGGGATGTAGTTCAGTGATAGAGCACCCCTGAGAGTTCAATTCCCAGTACCACAAATAGAGAGGGAGGGAGGGAGGAAGGAAGGAAACTTGACACTAAAAAATAAACTTAGAGATATATTGTTCAAGGCACTCTTGCAAAAATATGGCAAGAGCTTGAAACACATTACATGTGTATATATATGTACTCTGTGTGTGTGTAAAACAGAGGCACCAAACAAGAAAAAAATTTTGAAATTTACAAAGGTCACCAATGAAACAGTCATAAAATTTTACAGTAGGTAGGGAAGCAGAATCAAGAAAAATCTCGAGTCTTACTGTACTGAACGAACATTATTGATTCCACTGAATGAACACAAATTTGAAAGAGTCATAGAAGTCATGCATTCTAGGCTGGAACAGAATAAGTGGAGACACCGAAGCAGAAAACTACATCCTATATGTGAAAAAAAAAACCACAATATTTTCACATTTAAATGTTAAAATTTTCTTCTACAGCAGGAAGAGACGTGCTCTACTAGAATGTTCAAAAACCTTCAAATAATTTGCCTTTTATTCTGATGGCCACAAGCAAAACTTTCACCTCTACCTAAAAGGATGCTAAGTTACATCTCTACAAAATTTGAATGCAACCTCTTTAATGGCTACTATAGTTCAGCATTTGACACAAGCACATGCAGAATGAATAGTGAATTTAAAGCCAGTATAGTATTTTCCTCTGAAAATGTGTGCCTTAAAATATTTAATTCTAAAATACTCATAAGGGAAAAACACTAAAAGTTTGGTAAGTTAGGCAAACTTTGTTATTTATCCTTCCTTCAAAGACCAATGATGAGCATATTAATATATTAAAATCTCTGAACCCAGCTGAAATATGAAAACCAATCTACCTCTTTTAAATGCAGCACTTCCAAGGCTGAGGTAGAGCTCAATGTTAAAGTATTTGCATAGCATGTATAAGCCCATAAAAAGGGCTGGGAATGTGGTTCAGCAGTTAATCACCCCTGAGTTCAATTCCCAATACCTTCCCCCCAAAAAATCCTATTCCCAAAAAGCACAAATCCCTAAAAGCACAGATCACTATTTAAGAGCCCATGAACAAATATTATCTATTATCTGATAAAAAAATATTAATAAGGTACAGTGGTGCTAAATTTCTTAGAAAGACAAAAAATTCCCAACTACTTAATTTCTAATATGAAAAAATATCAATCTGATGTGGAAACCATTTTAGACAATGGTATAAAATTGATGTTACTGTTCAGCATTAATGATGTACCAAGTAGCAAACATACTTAAGTAATCTTAGTCTCACTCTCATATCTTTCTTGACTTTGATCCAATAAAAGATCATGTCTGAGTGATGACCCCCACTTCCAGATTTTTAGGGTCATTTATTTTGCATTAATCCAAAAATCTAGTCAACAGTGGTCAAATTTTAAAGTGAGGGGAGAAGGTTAAAAAGTTTTTATAACAGGGCACAGTGGCATATATTTGTAATCCCAACAATTTGGAAGGACACCAAGTTTGAGGCCACCCTAGGCAACCTAATGAGACTCTAAGCAGTTACCAAGCTCCTGTCTCAAAATTAAAAATAAAAGCCTTAGGATGTAGCTTAGTGGTAAAGCACCCCTGGATTCAATCCCAAGTACCCTCACCCCACACACAAAAAATGTCTTTCTAGACTCCATTGTCACTGACTATTTAAGGGTCAATGAGAGAATATATGTATATCATTCAAAATCTGAGAAGGGTAGACAATAACATTTTTTAAGAAGTTAAGAAATTAAAAAATGATGGGGAGTTGGAGAAGATGAATAATAGAATAATATGAATATTATTCATATAAAAGTAAAGCCTTGTCTATATATTAATAAGATCTAAATATGTATTAACACAATAAACTCTTAAGCCAACAAAAAAATTGGTCTTACTCTAAAATAACAATTTTGAAGCACATGTATCTATTGTTAATATAACAACCATTATTCTAAATTATTAAGATAATTAAAACTATTTAAAATAACACTATTAATGTATTACTGTGTTATTCATGTTTTTAAATAATGCTAGGAAAGTGCTACAGGATAGCTTGATGTTTTTAATACATTTATTGAAGAATATGAAAAAAATATTATTCTGGCTACAATAATAAGGAAACCTTGACCTATTTAAGGACAATTGCTATCTAAATGACAGATCAGCATTTTCAAAAAGAAATGCTCTATGTAAATTCTGACAGGGTTTGTACTTTTTATGAGCAGTGTACATTAGTTACTTTGGAAAGTACCTTTTTATAATCCATGAAGATGTAGGAAAGTATATTATTGCTATATAGAATTCCTATGCTTAATCCCTTTTATCAAAAAACCTTCCACAAAAGACATCCCAAACTATATCACAAGGCCAGAATTCTTCAAATATAAATAACTTTTCATGTTACAGAAATTTTTATATTGTCTATCGTGTGAAGATTAATTCTTCTTGCATCAAAATCTTGAATCTGAAAACTTAATTTAGCCCATGAAATCCTTTTAGAGATGTTATACATTATATATAAATTTTTCAGTTAATACACACATTTCAGAAATAACTTTTCAGAAATAACTTTCTATAGACCCAGAAATGTCTTTTTTGGTTTTTCAGGGTTTGTTTCTATGAGGTTTTTTTTTTTTTTTTGGCAGGGGAGGGAATCAGGGATTGAACTGAGGGGCACACAACCACTGAGCCACATTCCCAGCCCTATGCTGTATTTTATTTAGAGACAGGGTCTCACTGAGTTGCTTAGCACCTTGCTTTTGCTGAGGCTGGCTTTGAACTCAAGATGCTCCTCCTACCTCAGCATCCTAAACTGCTGGGATTACAGGAGTGTACCACCACACTTCACCTCATTTTGTTTATTGTAATCAATAATCATCAAAGGTCTCAGGAAGCCCAAACAATGTTTAATTTCATTCTTGAGATAATTATGAAATAATTTACATAAAATATAATGTGCAACATAAATACAGCCCACAATCCAAGTCAAATTAGTTCTGTGTTCTGAATTCATTGGTTTATGAGTAGTGGTTGAGTGTGATTTCCTGAGATACTTTTAAAAGCAAAGTCCATCAAAATAAGTATATAAATAATCCATTTCTTAATACTCCATATTTATGCAATTCTTATACTATTAAAGTATCAGAGACATTCAGGCACAGTGTGATTACTGCATTCAGAGTCATTCACATTTAGACTGTTATCTCTTGTGTGGTTAATTTTAATAATCCTTGAGGGTATTTTTCTTCAAATATATTTGAAATTCTAGAAGATATCAGATATTTCCCACCCATAACTTAAAAGTCCAGGAAAAAAACCTTCAGACATGAAACATACACGAGGAATTACACCATACCTCAAACTCAGAAATTTCAGGTAAGTTACTTTCATCCGATTTCTCAAGCTTCTCAGCAGCCCATTTGCTTGCAGCCTCAGCTAGTTCCTTTTCAGTTAGCCTACTGGGTTTGTCTAACACCTAGTAAAAATCAAAGAACATTTTTTGTTACAATACTCAAGGGCTTTTAAACTTCAAATATGTCAAGAAGCACACTCCACTTACACTTAAAATCACATAAACCTTCAAATTTATATGGATAACTGGTACATTCTTTTTCGGCTCCTTCAAAAATATTCAAAATAGGATTCCTTTAAATAGCAATTTTCTTTAAGACATATAGACTAGATCTAACTGGCAATTTAATCTACATAAAACTTCAGAAATTCATCTAGGGAACAAAGCAAAAGACACAATTTAACTCATATACTAATTGTATATAAAATATAAAAGACATTATAAACTAATTTCAGTGTTTTATCTTTATAGTCAATGAAATAAATGATGCCAAAATTTCATTAAAGCAAGTTCCTAAGTAATGCAGTAGGAAAAGTCCAGATGTGTCATCTTTATAATTTATAACAAATCATATAAATCCTACTCCTTACACAGTTTTAAAACTTAAATTTCATTGAGCCTACTACTATTTCTTCCTCTAACCAATTACAGTATGAACAAATTATGGGCTTTGGAGTTACAGGCAGACAGTTGTGAAATGCAATTTAATCAATTGCTAGGAAGATGGCTTTATACACATAATTAATAATGCTTCAATCGTGGCTTGTTTTTTTCATTTACAACATAGACATTAATAATACCTTATAAAGTAGTTATGAAAATGAAGAGAGGTTAACAGACTTGAAAACATCTAGGATAGGCTTGATATTTTTTTGTTTCTTTTCTGTATTCATTGATATAAATCTATTACACCTAAACATATTTGAAGAAGACCAATGAGTTCATGGGGGAAACATAAAAGCAAAATAAAACGTCTACTGGATCACATAATTATTCCCATAGTATCATTTAAAAGCATATGCTATAGAATGAGATGTAAAATAGTAAAGCACAAATAAGAAAAACCCTTCTCTAGGGCCCTAATAGTAACTTGCTGATTCCATTTCCTTATAGAAAACCTTATCATAAAACCTTACCATTTCCTTATTTCCATTTCATCAATCATGCCTTGACAGCCCTCATTTTGTCCCTAATATATCTCTACTCCCGATGCCAGTCCTTGTTTTTCTTTTTTTTCCTTAAAAAAAAAAAATCCACCTTATGGTGCATCACTATTAACATAGTGCTTTTAAAAAACATTCTATATACAAAATATTTCAATTAAATAAAAATTCCAAAAAGGTGTTACAAGCTTGTCACCTCAGCCTGTAAACCAGGAAACTGAGGTCAAAGTCCCTAATTAATACTGAAAAAAAAAAAAAATCCACTTGACTTTCTTCCTAATTAAACTCACCAAACTACTGACTGGTCACTGGTAATATTCACAATGATTTATATATACATGGAGTTGTGGGACAGTAAAGTATCTTGCTCCAAAGATATCTCTTTGTGACATATTTTGAGTTGATTATTCAGAAAAAGTGAAGATCTCTACAGACATGTGTATGGCTTTAAAAAACTGTCCTTTTACAAAAAGAAATTTATATTTATCTACATGAGTAAAAGAAGCAGAAGGTGTAAATGGTCTTTTTCTTTGAAACCCCCATATCTGCCTTGGACAGGTTTTTCAAAGAAAAATGAGATTTCAAGCCTGACACCTGGGCCAGAAAGATTACCACAGGTGGTCCTCAGAGGGCTGCTGCCTAGGAAACTGTGTCTGCATAATAAGATAAGTTTTATCCCACACAGTACTTCTCCTGAACCTCCCCCATGGCTTCTGTTACTACCTCCCCTGGTTCAGGACCTCTAAACTCTATTCCCTTGTGCACCACAAGATATTATATAAACTTCAATCATATGATCCTTTCCTTGATCTCATACTTTCTGTGTGGCTCACATGCTTAGACATATAATAAATTTTTAGTTTGTCTTCTATGACTCTGTTTACAGTCAGTTCATTTCATAGACTAAAATTACCAAACCTTCAGAGGGAAAAGAGAAAATTTGAAACTTCCCTTCCAAGTAAATTCCATAGCCAGAAGCAAACCTAAATATCTGGTTCCAACACCCTGCCCATATAGAAGGTTTAAAAGATATTATATAAAGCAATATCTTTATTACTACTTAGTAATATAAGATTTTTTAAAAGGTACAAGAAAACACACACAAATACATCCAAGAAAAAAATTTATATTGAATTTTTTTGGGGAGTATCTTTTTAAGAGGGAGTTATAAAGCAAAACACAAATGTTCATATGGGCTCTCAACAGAAAACAAAGTAAAAACCTACTATAACTTAAACTACTAATCTGTCATTAAATGTGTGCACTTGAAAAGCTACTGGAACTACCTTCTAATAGCAAAAAATAAACTTTCTGAAAACGTATTCCTATTTAAGGACAACAATGTTTATAAGAGAAAGTCCTTTACCAAATCAGATCAATGAACCAAAGCTTTTGATATCTACCCTGTAGCCCTTGGCAAAGAACACACAGAGCTACACTTTCCTAATATGCAAAATAATTATACATCTAAAATTTTGATACTTTTTCCATTTTAAGATTTTACAGTCTATAACAAAAGTGCAACCATCTACATGAAATATGACAAAAATGGCAAAAAAATTCATCCTTGTTGTTTCACATTAAATATGTTTTAACATGCAGTGCAAAGTCCTACTTTAAAACTTATTTTTATTTATTTATTTTTTATTGTTGGTTGTTCAAAACTTTACATAGTTCTTGATATATCATATTTCACAGTTTGATTCAAGTGGGTTATGAACTCCCATTTTTACCCCGTATACAGATTGCAGAATCACATCAGTTACACTTCCATTGATTTACATATTGCCATACTAGTGTCTGTTGTATTCTGCTGCCTCTCCTATCCTCTACTATCCCCCCTCCCCTCCCCTTTTTTAGTTGTAGTGGGACACAATACCTTTATTTTATTTATTTATTTTTACGTGATGCTGAGGATCGAACCCAGCGCCTCGCTGGTACTAGGCGAGGGCTCTACCACTGAGCTACCATTCTAGCCCTATAACTTATTTTTAGATAGCACTGTATTTGGGGAGAAATTAAAACTTCATATGTAATAATTTAAATTTTTGTGGTGACTTGACTTTGGCAGGTTCTATCTATTCTTTATTAACTGACAAGAAAAATAAGTCAGTCTTTCATGTGGGTAAAGCACTCTTAATGTGTTTAAGACAGAACCCAAAAATCTTATCAATTTTTGCTATTTAAAACTTGCCATTCCAGGGTTGGGGACATAGTTTAGTGGTAGACCACTTGCCTAGCATGCATGAAGCCTTGGGTTCAATCCAGCAACATAACATTAAAAAGCAACCTATTACTCTAGAACCCTCTGACTTTGAGAAAGTTCCAATGATACAAGTTGTCACAAACTTTTCCCCTCTGAGGCAGAGAAGAAGCTGTCCCTTGAATACCCAGCACAGACTTCCAAGTAATCCTGGAAAGTCAAAAATAATAAAGGGAGAAGAACAAAAAGAAGTGAAGAAGAGAATATAAGAAGCAACAATTGTGGGCAAGAGAAAGAGTATGAAAATTGTAAAGAAAGAGAACAGATGGAAACAGCAATTTCTCAATTATTAAATTTTGGGGATAAAAAACATAGGGTCTGACTTTTCAACATGTTTTGAGATGCTGGAAAGTGATAGTTAAAAGAAAAAAAAGTATGGCAGTATGTAAAAACGTGGATGTGCAACCGATGTGATTCTGCAATCTGTATACGGGTTAAAAATGGGAGTTCATAATCCACTTGAATCAAATGTATGAAATATGATATGTCAAGAGCTTTGTAATGTTTTGAACAACTAATAATAATAATAAAAAGTAGCTATCCCTTAAGAAAATTATTTAACCTCTGAACCTCCAATCTGCTGTAGAATGGAGATTTATACCTACCAATATCAGAGAATTTCTGTATGAATTAATAAGAAAAACCACTAATACCCCAAGTTGACTAATTATAAATAAATGTTAAGTCTTTACCTATACCCCCAACTTCCCCCAAAAGCAAAAATCTACAACTATGCCCCATCTGAATATTTATTCCCACCTGATTACTGTCAAGATGAACAAGGGCTGTAGCAGTAAATATTAATTTTAGCACAACCTATGAAAAAAAATTCTACAAGAAAATTGTTCATTTACTCTGCTATTTTAAAATTGTGGTTACTTAAAATTCAACTATTTAAATGCAGCAAATCAGCCCCATAAGTATGATTATATATGCTAAGAGCATCTGTACTAGCCAATCTTATTGACTTTATCATTCTTCTTTAAACTCATTTTAGGAAAATAACAAACCTTTGATGAAGGAACTGCTGATGAACTTGAGGGTGAAGTGTCTCTTGATGTTTTCAAAGACTGGACTGGTCTTTCTTTACCTATACAAAAAAATATAAAATTTTTCTAGTTCATTTGTTCTCAAGTGATTTTGTAACTGAATTAATGGGAGAGGATCATAGAGTTATTTTAGTACTGAAATGTTACATCACATTATTAAATTAATTACATTAATATCTAAAACTACCTTTCTCAGAGACTGACAAGATCAAATATTTAAAGTAACTCAGAACCAAATGATATATACGGCAATCTAGGCCACACCAATATCAGTTATCAAACCTGGAGCTACAGAGAAGACAATGCCTGAGGAAAGGCAAAACACAATTTTAAATCATGAATGCTTCCTTTTCCCTGCGACTACATGTTAATATTTAACATATCACAATATAAACAAGCAAATAGTTATTGTAGTTATTATATAGATACTAATAGAGCTAATCAAAGGCTAGCTCAAGGAGAGCTATGTATAGGAAATTTAGATACTCCTGAAATGTTTATACAGTTTAAAAAGTAAAATTAGAAAACTATAATTCAGAGTACTAATCCAGAGCCTGGCATGAATGAATTCCCAAATATTTGTTCGATGGCATGAAATAAGTCTAAAGCCACTAACTCTATCTTAAGTCACTTCAGACACTTAAGTGCTGTACACATACACCATGTTTTATAGAAACTTAAGCCAGGAAGTACATTTAAGCAATATTACTTTAGCAGGTTCAACAACAACCAAAAAATATGTTTAAATATAATGTTTAAAATTGGTAACAATAATGTTATTGATAGAAAAACATTTCACTAAATTGTCAAACTCTCTGCCCTTAGTTGCTGGAGTGGGGGAAAACAAACAAACAATTAATAATATGGAGAAAAGAAGAAAGTGGCATCAACTTTTAAGTCACACAGAGCTGATTGAGACTGGAGAGTGGGTTAAGGCCAGAAGAGCAAGTCAAAAGCAAAAGCAAAGGCAAAACAACCTTGAAACTGAGGCAAAGCCAGTTCTGGTCAAAACGCCTCTTCCAGCTCTTCCTCACAACAGCAAAGATTGCTAAGCAAAGGCCTAGAAACTCAAAGGTTTCCAAGCACCTGGGGCAGTAGTGAATAACACCCCTTTCCAATGTCCTGAAGACCCAAGAAGTTTCTCTATACCCATGACCTTCAATCAGGGACAGTTTTGTACCTCCCACCCCACATACTGAGCAATATAAGACATTTTTGATTGTCACAGTAAGAGAATGCCACAGGCATACTAAGTAGAGGCCAGAGGCGCTACTAAAAATACCTGTTGGGGAGACATCCCCATAAAAAAGAATCTCTACACCTACACTCAAATGTCAATAATGTTGAGGTTGAGTTTGAGAATTCCTGGCTCTAGGCTGAGTATTCCAAGTTTGAAGCTCCAACAGTTTTTAAAAAGACATAACGTAGAATTTAGGGTACCACAACCCTGGTACCATAAAAGGTTTTCATACTGAGCAGGCTAAAAATTTACGGTATGCCTTAGAAATCAAAAGAAACATGATATAAACCATCATTACATCACCAAAGCCAAGAATATGATTTATTTAGTTATTTTTTATTGTATTCCCATTGCATGTGGCAAACTCTACATCATACTGAGATAATATCAGTCTATCCCACTATACCAAAATTTCCTAAAGGAACAAGTATCACAGCTCATTCCTTTTTGAATAGCCACAGCCTACTTCACTCAAAGTCTTAAAGACAAGATTAGGCATTCAAAATTAGGTAAAAAGGTGAAACTTATTTTCTACCTTTAGCATGCATTGACTTCTCCATTCTACTCAAATAAGCAAGCCCTTGAAAGATGAGGTGCTGGACCAATCAGCACAGCAGGCTATACTAACTAAAAGCATAATTGCAAGCTCAATTCTAACATGCATGTGCTAGACACAGAAGAAAAAGAAAAACAAAAAACAAAGAACCTGTCACAAGCAGCTGTTAATCCCTTATTTAGCAATTCCTTTATAAACAGGGCATCAGTACTGCAGATATGTCAGGTATGGTCCTATGTCAGTCTTAGGACCTTTCCTGATTTAAGCTGCTTAAAAGCTAATCTAGGCTGATGTCAACCAACCTCAGTGTGCAGAAGCAAAGAAACACTAACAGGCAAGGCAGGCAGTTTATCATATATCTACATACATTCCTTTACACCTGTTTACATAAATGGGAGGGACAGGCAAGAAGCAAAGGACAAAGAAAATGATGATGGCAGCAGAAAAAGCACAGAAAAGGTAAACAGAAATTCCTTGATCCCACCTGCCAAGGGCCTCTCTATTCTATAGATCTAAGCCTCCCATGGATGGTTATATTCCTAGTCAGGAATGGCTAGCCCATACAATGAACCCACATATCCTAATCCTACTGCTGCAGTGCTATCTAACTCTAATGACAATAACGGACTAATGGAGCAGTTATATATTTTTCCCATTTCCATTACCTCTACCTATTCAAGCCTCCCACCCTTTCAAAATCCCAAATCAGAATCTAGCTCAAAACTCACCTCTTTCTGGCTTTCCTTCATTCTGCCGTTTGTAGGAGGCACCAACACGCACAGGCTCTAGAGAAAGGTGTGCAGGCAGGAATTAACACCAGCTCCTCTGTGCCCAGATGGAAAGATAAGAACCCAGAAGTAGGAGCAACAAGAACAAGAACTTCTGAGTGTTCACTAGCTACCCTTTCCTACCCTGCTTTCAAGCTGGGTTGCCTGAGCAACCACCTCTGAAGATGAATCATAACGGAATGGAAAAAATCTTTGTTTAGGGTATGGGAGACCAAACATGCCATACAAGGTACACTTCTTTGGCATACTGAGATCACTATTCAGAGAAACAACAGACACAGGAATAGCTCTTAAAAACTGTCCTTTTGTAAAAGAAATGTACATCTAAAATAACAAACAGTAGATGCAAAAAGAGGCTTCCTTTGAGGTCCTTTAAATCTGCCTAAAAATGAATCACATAGTATCAGGAAGAGAGACTAGAAGTTCAGCACCTGAACCAGATGCTTTTAGGCTATCACTTACTCTTTTGAGAACAACTCAGACATTACCTGAGATTTTATCTGCATAGCAAGAAAACTTTTTCTTTTCAGTGCATTCCTCTCCTCACCATCCCATAGCTTATTGACACCTTCCCACCTGAAACGCCAAGCTTCTATTCCAAAGCCACATACTTCAACCATTTAGTCATTCTTTTGAGTCTTATATATTACATACACATGTAATAAATTTCCATTTCTTTTCTCCTGTGGATCTGCCTGATGTCATATTATTTCAGAATCTGTTACAGAACCATCAGAGAATATAGGGAAAAGATTTAAACGGCCCCCATATAGGCCAGAAGCTCACTAGAAGTATTAAGATGAGGCCAGTCAATGACAGCATGGGCAGAAAGGAATGAGAAAAGGATCAAAGACAAGACATGAAGAGAAGAAAAGGAACAATTCTATTCATTGTTACAAGTACCTAATCTCACCCATAAAGTTCAGATTCAAAAAACTTGTACAGAATGAGACACATACACCAAATCAGGAGTGAAAAATGAATCAACACTAGAAATCAAGAAAAATACTGGGGAAAAATTCAAACAGTTATTCTGATTTGCTTTCAACAAACAGCCTATTACTAAATTTTGCTGATTCTTCTTAAGCAAATTATCTTATATATGGTTTTTCTTTAAAAACAAATCCATAGCTATAAATCCTGAAACATTTGTTAGTTTTCTTGCCTGCAAACTTTTAATGATGCAGATAGAATAAACTTTCTAAACAGCCTAAATATACCAATTAGGAAGCCCAGATAATTCTACAATAAGGGCAAACTTTTTAGCATTTATTTAAAACCTTTCTTTAAAATGCCCTTTTCCAAAACTGTTTGACATTGTCAGTAACCTGCCTTGAACTATGTTTCAAGAAATATCATGGAGGGCTGGGGATGTGGCTCAAGTGGTAGCACGCTCGCCTGGCATGTGTGCGTCCCGGGTTCAATCCTCAGCACCACATACAAACAAAGATGTTGTGTCCACCGAAAACTAAAAAATAAATATTAAAAAATTCTCTCTCTCTCTTTAAAAAAAAAAAAGCCAAATTAAGTTTAAAAAAAAAAGAAATATCATGGAAATAATGCCATCCTTTATTTTCAATAATGATATGGAAGATACAGTAGACTTTTCTCATTCACTGATCTCTCTAGCTTCAGGCAAGTTTTTGTTAATCCTGAACAGCTGATCTGCTTTTATGTTAGATATACTATGGACACTATTACTATTACTTTTCTATTTGCTATGGTTAAACTCTTAGTTTATGTACAGCAACTGTCTAGAGCATTATGGTAGACATATACTTTATTCTTACTTTTATTTCCTATCCTTATTTCCTTTTAAAATAAACTCTTCCATCTTTTTATTTGTTTTATAAAGTGTTTTATTTCACCAAGCTTCCTCAAATTCTTTTTCAAACCAAGAGATAAGAACAAATGATATTTTACAGACATCTATTAGAGCCTCAGTCCACCTCATACTAGGTGGTAAGAGTGGACTGTACCACCCATCCTATCAAACTTTGTGTTCAATTAGTTACTATATGTTGATAGCTTAAAATCAATCATGGTGGGAATATTCACTCCACTGATATAAGCAAATACAAAAAATAAGGTCTTTTAAAACAACATAATTTTGATTCCAAATTTCAGAGACACTGTAGTTACTGAACATTTAGTTAGATTCCCAACAATGTTGCTTTAAATAGATCTAGATTCCTAACACACCACTAAAACCATACATTATAATTATAGAATCTTGAAGAAATAGTGACTAAATCAATCCACTAAGTGTTAGGGTGTTTTTTTGTAACACAAGATTTAATAGTAATAACCCCACTGTGCTTAAACTCTTCATCCCAGATTCTACTGATTTGCTCACTTTAGAACTAAAGACCTCATTCTTTTTGTTTTTTAGTTGTAGAGTACAATATCTTTATTTATTTATTTGTATGTGGTGCTGAGGATCGAACCCAGTACCTCCATGTGCAAGGCAAGTGCTCTACCACTGAGCTACAGTCCCAGCCCCAAGACCTCACTCTTACCCTTGACACTTTAATGACTAATACATAAGATTTTCTTAATATTTTAAAATTAGTTTTTCATGCCTGCATCGGTCACCTTTCTGTGACAAAATCTGAGATAACCAGCTTATAAGGAGAAAAGGTTTACTCTAGTCACAGTTTTGGAGGTTGTAGTCCACAGTGGCTTGGCCCCATTTCTTTGGACATGTGGTAGCACAGTGCATCATGATGGGAAAATGATATAAGAGGCCAGTACACCTCATGGCAGCAGAGAAAGCAGGAAGGGTCTCCTTGAAAGACAATCTTCTAAGTAGGCCCCACCTCCTAAAGGTTCCATGACCTCCCAATAGCAACACAGGTTGGGGCCCCAGAACATTTTGAACCCTCAGTGCCTTTGTATTTTTATGTTGATCCCATATATCTTTCTAACTATATCTTTCCTTTTCTTTTCTGTTACTTCTTGTTTCCTAAATGTGAGTGTTCCTCCTAACCTCAATTCTTTTTGCTCTGCTATTCCTAGTTGGTTTCAATCAACACTATGAAACACATTTCTCTGTCCCTTCTACTCACTATTCTACATTCTAACTGACAGGATGTTATTCACTAGCTACTTAGCTATTACACCTCAAATTAATCTCACTCATCCTAGTAAACAGACACTAACTTTCTGCTTGACAGCAAAGGGTTTCCCCCTTTGTATTCAGGGTTAAAATATTCTTGCCTTTGCTGTGATTTGCTAAAGAAAATGAGTATTGCTGGGCAGATGGCACACAACTATAATCACAGTGACTCAGAGAGGCTGAAGTAGGAAGACTGCAAGTAAGTGCAAGGCCAGCCTGCAACTTAGGGAGACCATGTCTCAAAAAATAAAAAGGTCTGGGGTATAGCTCATTTATAAAGCTCCCTTGGGTTCAATCCCCAGTTCCACAAAAAAAGAAATTAATCTTAAATTAGGATTAAGGAAATAAACCAAGAAGGAAAATTATGTAAGTGGCAGTATAGAAATCAAAATTTATAAATATTGGTGGTTAAAGAAAAATAAAGATTAAAAAAAAGCCAATTACAAATACTTTCTAACTTAAAATGGTTCAACTTATAATTTTGAAACTTTACAATGGTATATTGGCCATACACATTCAGTAGAAACTGTACTTTGAAATTTGATCTTTTCCAGGACTATGATGTATCATATAATACTGTAACTGAATGCTAAGCAGTGGCAGCAAGCCACAGCTCCCAGTCAGTCACACTGATCACAAGGGTAAACAACCAAAACTCTACAGTGTACTGTGTTGCTAAACTATGAAGTTCAGTAGTCTGGTGCATTAAATATATTTTCAACTTATGATGATGAATATAGTACTACTGTAAGTCAAGGAACATCTTTATTAGTTCTATACACCAGACATAAAGGTTTTTTAAAGTAAAAGCAAAAGCTGGAGAAGTAGCTCCAAAACAACATTCAAGAAGTTCTTTAAGAATTGCAGGGGCTAGGGTTGTGGCTCATCGGTAGAGTGCTCGCCTAGCATGTGTGAGGCCCTGGGTTTGATCCTCAGCACCACATTAAAAGTAAATAAATAAAATAAAGATATTGTGTCCAACGACAACTAAAAAATGTTAAAAAAAAGAATTGCACAGTATTTGTTGATTCACCAAATGAAATAGCTGAATACAAATCTACTATGATCTTTCAAAAATATGCTTTCTTCTATATTTTCCTACTGAAAGCAAGGAGTCATCCAACACTATCAAGTGCTATTCATTATAACTCATAAGAACAAAGGATATTGCACACACAAAAAAGAAATCATCAAGAGAGATAATAAAGTTAGGGTCTATGCCTTGTAAACTACTGACTCTCAGTACATACAGTGCTTGGCAAAGAGCAACAAAAAGAAACCTTCAAATTCAAGAAACAAACTTCACAGCACGGGTGTTACATTGATCTCTCCTTTGACAACTGAAGATTTGAAATAGAAAATGGTTTGTTTTTCTGGACCACAGACAAACAGGAGAATTTGGGAATTCTGGTTAAAAAGAGTGTGACTTCTTAGAGATTTACCAGTTCATTCAAGAAAGTCTATAACAGAAAATGGGTACTTGTATCCATTGCGTCAATCCCAGAAATATGTTCTGTATTAAAGGTAACCAAAAATGATGGGGAAATGATACTGGTATAGAGGTGGAGAAAGCTTTGCACCATCTCTGCCCCACAATCTATCAGGTCAGATACTGACAAGCTGAAGTAAAGTCAACTGACTAAGAACTCTTGAAAGTGCCCTGCTGAGTAGTGCTCTAATATATCCACTAAAAGCATGTAAAGCTCACTTTTGTACATAAGGAAAATACTGTATCACCTGTACACATTTATGAATGCTTGCCACTGAGAGAACATACTAAGTCCCAAGCAAGGACACTATAAAATGTCTACACATCTAGTATTAATCGATTACTGCTTTAGAACTTTTATCATTCAGATGCCAGAAAAGCTACACCTGTATTCCTAGGGTTCACCCAGAAAACTCACAGCCAAAGCTCTCTTATGACTAAACAATGGGTTCTTAAATAAGAATAATATATTATAGAATCTAATTCAACAGCTAATTAATAGTGTGAATCAGTTAATAGCTCAAGACTTTTCAGGAAAATATTAAGTTATACTTCAGGAATTCCAAAAGAACACAGCTAATCCCAATAAATCTTCTCTACTGGCATTCTCTCACAAATTTCTACTCATCCTTCATATACTACCTAAAATGCTTATTCCTATTTAATTATTTGTTTGCTTGCCTCTTTAACTAGATTATAAACTAAAGATGGTAGAGATCTGTATTGCTTGGCAAACCATGTATCTTCAATATATTTTTATTTGTTAAAAGACAAGTATATGTACTGAACACAAATACAATGGTTCCAACTAAGAAACACTATGATATGTATGTAGTTGTTAGGAGAATGGCTCCCTTTCTATTATCTAGTGTACAATCTTATTTCCATATTCCCATTACTACTTCAAATCTGCACAGAAAAGCCTGCTCTCTAAATACAAAATTAAACTCTAAATTTTAAAAAAAATGCTTTATTGGGGGTGCAATGGTGCACACCTGTAACCCCAGTGATTCAGGAAACCAAGGCAGGAGCATGGCAAATTTGAGGACAGCCTGGGCAACTTGGCAAGATCCTGTCTCAAATATAAAAAGAACTGTGGATGTAGCTCAGTTGTTGGGAACCCCTGGGTTCAATTCCTAGCACCACATACACACACACAAAATTTCTACATAACCAATAGTTCATAAGATATACATCTTTTCCCACTATAATAAAGTTCAATAATGAACACTTCCAAATACACTGGTATCAAAAGTGTTTTTAATATTTGAACACTTAGAACAAGTATTTTTAAAAGAATTAAACAGAAATATGTAATAGTCTTTCTTTGAAATACTTGCCAAAAATCAAGAAAATAAGAGGAAGTTAGGCTGGAGAAAAACAGGGCAACAACATTAACAACAACAAAAACTCTGCAAATCTTCTATAGCAATTACGTTTTTTTTAAACTGAAGCAAAATGCTACACAGCCTCATTAAAAAATAAGCATCAATGGCAAATTTGGCAAATGTTTAGAATAAATTAACAAAGAAGTAGTTTGTAAGTTCCTGCAAGCCACAGTGGATTTATAAAAACAAAGCAACACAATCTTTATGTCACTGTTTGATTGAGGAAATGCTTTACAACTTAAAATTTTGGCAAGAGTGCATCTGATAAGGCCTTCCAATGAGATCCCTAAATGGAAATAAAGACAAGATAATAGTAAAGTTGGAGGATCACAAGTGGTTGAGTAACAACAAACAATGATGATCAAAGCTTGAGGTTAATAGATCTCTAAAAGTATCTAAATTCAACTCTGGGGATATGATAGTACTCCTCCAGTATGTAAAAGGTTACAACAAAAAAGAAATGTTTGTTTGTATATGTGGCTTAAGAAAAATAACTAGTATTTAGTAGATGTTAGAGGAAAAGATTATTTTCTAAACAATGAGCTACATACAGAGGTGGAATGGCCAAACTGAGATATTATAAGAAAGACTTCAACAAAAAATGGGTATAAAAGGGGCTGGGGCTGAGTGGTAAAGCACTTGCCTAGCAAGTGTGAGGCACTGGGTTCGATCCTCAGCACCACATAAATAAATAAAATACTATATAAAAAATAATGGATATAAGAGACTGAATTTAATGAATTCTGATGTTGCTTTTAACGCTACATGCTAAATAAAAGGTAAATGTTAAAAGAAAATGAGGTTAAAAGACAGTCTACACACTGTTAGCATCTGAATACGAACAAAAAGGACTAAAAAGAATGTTGCTTTCACAGTTATGTCCAGGTCAGCCTAACTAACATAAGAACCAAGTTCTTATTAGTGAAGTATGGTATGAAAATAAGTTTGATTTAGAAGGGTAATTAGTCTGAAGCAATACAAAGTTCCATAGGATTTACCTAAAAAGCTAAGTAGAAGAAATTTAATTATATGTGTATATAAACACAAAATGAGAAATAGGCACTTGAGTTGGAAAAGCAGTTAAATAATTCTGTGGCTTATAGCTAAGAACAAAAAGGAGATGTTAAAGTGCATGTCAGACTTATGAAGATTTAGTCCTTTAACAGTTACTACAGTCAAACTACTAGTTATTATTAAAGCAGGTTAAATTACTCTGAAAAGTTATAAACAAAAAGCAAAAATTTTAAAAGTAAAGAAAAAAATGAGGGCATAAGTAATTTTTAAAAATAGTTATTTTAACCTGTAATCTGTAAAAACATTTAAAATCTTTACCAAAATTTCAACTACATTACAAACTAAATTTCAACACATTGTTAATCAATCTAGCTTAAGCTGGTGATAATTGAAAAATCCTATTCCTTGGTATTTCTTTGAAGGAAAGCAAGGTACAATTAATATCTATGACGTTCAGATAAAGCAAAAACTAGTATCACAAGTGTAATATTTACTTCTCCATTTACTGTTGAAAACAAGACTTCTCCAACTTAAGACTTCTTGGTTTTTTAATAAGATGATCTTATATAAGTATTCTGAAAGCATGAGAGGAATATAGAAAGTATTTTCTTAGTATTGCATAAGTAGTTAAGGAACCAAAGTATCCTGCAAGAGTTCTCCCAGAACAAATTCTTTTATCTTCATTAAAGAATTTTACTTTCAAAGTTAAAAGATTAATGAAAACAAACACGGAATTAGCAAAGTCATTTATATCTATATTTCAGTTTACTCCATATCTTGGGTCCCCCAATCTTTCCACCATTCCATATACTAAAGATATTAAACCTCAAAAGATGGGAACAGTATACTGGAGATCCTGAGAGAGGAATATCACATTATGTCTCATGCATACTTCATCTTAAGACTTTAGAGTTTGGGTCACAAAGCAGCCAAGTCCATAAAAACAGAAAAAAATGGTCTCCCAGAAATTTCTGTTTTAAAGGATATACAAAAAAAAAAAAAAAAAAAAAACCAAGACTAATTCACCAATTCTACTTTTAACAGCTTTACTATAAGCTATCAAATAAGAATCTCAAGTTTCTGTTTTAATATTTTATGTTTTGTTAAAAAGTCTTCATTATTAGTTTCCATAAGATACTTTCTTCCTCTTAATCAAATCATTAATTGATCTTGGCTTAAGTCATACATATTCAGAAAACAAATACTTAAAAGGCATCTGACTAATTTACCATATGACTATGCATGAAAACACTAAGTTTAGAGGTTGTTATCTTGAAGGTTTTTTGCTTTTGTTTGGGGTTTTTAATATGCAAGTGGGAGAGAGAAAAGCAAAGGAGAAAACACTCATTAAACTCCACAGAACTTCCAGTTTCCCAGAAGTGTCTCAAGCATATTATATTAAGCAATCAGGCACAGAGGTGCTATGTTTTTGTTTTTATTTGGTTTGAGAGCTTTCCAATGATATTCTTAAGTCTTATACCATCATTCATACACCTACCTATAACCAAAAACATGTTTTTTAGAAAGCTTCACTCTGCCTAGCTCTACAAATTAAGGAATAACAGATAAATGTTTGCTCAACACAGATCCAGGCAACAGCTACAAGAGAAAACCATGTGATGATGACAGGTGGTTCTCCATCACTCTCATCATGCAGGAGGCAGAGGCTATTGAATTAAAATTCTTATTATTTGAAAAAGACACTAAATAGGAAGGAAGTTAAAAAGAAAAGTAAAAGAAATATTCTGGACTTTTTTTGATTTCCCTCTCTTGGCTTACAACCAGTTAGAATATACTTCTGCACTAATTTTGAAGGTGAAAGGTTAAGTAGACCCCAACTTCAAAGAGTTGGGAAAACCCATGTGTATTCATTATACTATTCTTTAAAGTTCTCTATAAATTTTAAAATTCTTCAAATTAAAGTTATAACACCTATGAGGCAATTTGTCTTAGTACACTTCCATCAGTGGAAACTGTGAAAGGAAAAGGAGTCGTATAAAATACATACTTCTATGTTGAGACTGATGGAAAGAATATGTTTTGCTTCGTTCTGGAGAGTAACTTCTACTACTGACACTGGAGCCAGATCTGCTGTGTGGAGAGTCCTTTCGACCTACAGGCGATTCTCTGAAACAAGGAGCATCCCTTTTATGAGGAGACCGGTCTCTCGAATAATGGGAAGAGTAGAAACTTTTTCTTCTAAAGCCATCTCTCATGTCCCTTTGAAGAAAGAATAAGAAAAGATAATTATACCCTCTATTCCATATACATACACAGGCCTGCATGTGCGCGCACGCGCAGACACACACACACACACATAAATGGCAAAAGCTCTAATTACAAGCTACTCTTTATATTGTAATCTTGGTTCCTTGTTCAACCAAAACCTAACTGCCAAAGTCAGTTAACAAAATGAAACTATCAGTTAAATATGATTTAGAATGCACCACTTTTTCAATTAAGTAAAAGTCAGATGGTCAAGTACAAAAGTTACTTTATTCTAAGCAAGCACAAATTATAAAATGTGAAAAACAGAGATATATAAACTATTTTTCTTGCCTTTAACAATAAACCACACAGTTACTACAATTCCAAAGGCACCTAGCAATACCAAAGATTTTCCTAGTGAAACATTCCATGACATGTTATTTATTCCTTTCTAAGTATTGGGAATGTTCAGGTAGAGCATGAGCATCCCTAATCCCAAAAGCTCCAAATTTTGAAACCTTTTGAAGTCTGAATATTTCTGGTCCTAAGTATTTCAGAGAAGAGATACAGAGGTCAGATGCAATAGTTTACACCTGTAATCCCAGTAGCTCAGGAGGCTGAGACAGGAAAAATCTGAATACTTCTAGTCTCAAGCATTTTCAGAGAAGAGATATCACAGGTGGGACACAATGGTACATACCTGTAATCTCAGCAGTTCATGAAGCTGAGACAGGAGGATCCCAATCAAGGCCAGCCTTAGCAACCTAGCAAAACCCTAAGCAAATCAGTGAATCTCAAAATTAAAAAAAAAAAAAAAAAAAGAGCTAGGGATGTACCTCATTGGGAAAGCACCCTGGGTTAAATCTCCAATATCAAAAAAGATGAGGAGATACATGATTTGTATATATCACTGCCCCCTACCCCTGCAATCTGGCAATGTCTAGAAGGCTTTTGGTTATCATAAGGGGTGAGATGTGATCATGCTGGTAGGTGCCAACAATGCTACCAAAATACTACAATGCTCAGGACTACCCTACACACACACACACCAAAAAAACCTGGTATGTACCTATTAAATTCTGAGTTTGTGTCCTTAGTTTACAAATTGTTGCCCATCTTTAAATACCTACTTTTTATAAATCATCTTTACTTTCATAAGTTACATTTTTTATTAAGCAATATCATCAACTCAAATGAATAAGCAAGCCCCACTAGGAAAAATTTATAAGCAAAAAGCATCTTTAAAATGTTGAAGCTAACCAAAATTATTAAGCAAACCTATCAAGAACAAATGGGTTTAATTAATTGATGATTTAACAAATATACTTCCATATTAAAATTAAAGACTATTAAATTTCAGACAGAAGAATGCTAAGAGACAAACCAATGGCATGGACGTTATTTTTGCAGGGGGCACAGTCCTAGAAATTGAACCCAGAGCCTTGTATACATATTACACAAGCACTCTATCACTGAGCTAATTCCCAACCTCATCACACTGAATTTCAAATGCTCTGAAAATTATTTCAGTATATTAATTAATGGTCACACATAAGTAGTTTGTTGTCCTAGGGTTATCTGAACACTAGCTAATTAACACAAAAAATATACTGCCTCTAATAGACACAATTAAGTTTCCCTAGGAAAAAAATAGAAAACAGCTAAAATTCATTAATGATAAATGAACTGGTACAGAATCCTAATAATGAAATCAAGTCAGTCACTAAAACATCTATCTACTGAAGGAGTTAACCATTATTTTTCTTTCAAAAAAGACTGGCAGAAGAAAGAGGGGGATCTGGGATTAACCTTACTTTGACTGAAAGGGTTTATTATTTATTTGATCATATCTGGAGGTCAAGGGGAAAAGCTAATTTACAATAAAGGGGGAAATTAATAATCCAAGACACAACCACGTTAATTGACAAATAAACCTACAGATTTTTGGAACTCTATCAGTTGCTAGGGACTCAAAGAGAAGCCAAATGCACACAGTCCCTGCATCACAGAACTCTCAGGCTAAGAGAAAACGACATTAAATATACATAAAACAGGTGAATGCAGTCAAGAATGGATGTAGTGAAACTAATTAGGAGTCTGTTTAGTCCAAGGAATAAACAATAGTAACCTAGATGAAATAATGGGGTCACAAATTTTACACCCCCAAGAATATACCTTTTAGACTTAACATGCGATGAAAATTTGACAAATGAGTGTGAAAGATGCATGGGGAATGCCAATCTGATTCCCAGAATTCTAGTATAACAGATTAACAAGAAAAACTGATCTGAGAAATGAAGATGGGGTGAGAATCATATTGATATAGGAGCATATTAAGTTTGAGGTGATCAAATAACATCTAGGCAAGCAACTAGAGACAATGACCTGAAGTTCAGAAGATATTTCTGGTTCTCAATGTAGATTTCCCTGTAAACAAACAGTAAACCCATGGATACAGATGAAAACAAGGAATAAAAAAAGCAGAGTGCCCAGAATGTATGGTTTAAAAGCTATAACACAAAGAGAGAAATGGGGGACTGGGGTTGTGACTCAGTGGTAGAGTGTTTGCCTAGCATGTGTGAGGCACTGGGTTAGATTCTCAGCACCGCATATAACTGACAACTAAAAGAATAAAACATTTTGGGCTGGGGATGTGGCTCAAGCGGTAGTGCGCTTGCCTGGCATGCATGCAGCCCGGGTTCGATCCTCAGCACCACATACCAACAAAGATGTTGTGTCCGCTGAGAACTAAAAAAATAAATATTAAAAAAATTCTCTCTCTCTCTCTCTCTCTCTCTCTCCTCTCTCACTCTCTCTCTAAAAAAAAAAAAAAAAGAATAAAACATTAAAAAAACAGAAATGGGCTGCCAAATGAGAGAACAGCCAGAAAAATACATACACACACACACACACACACACACACACACACAAAGAGGAAGAGAGTATATTATCTGTGAAGCCAAGGAAACAGCATTCCAATAAGGAAAATAAAGATTTTCTAAATTGAAATTAAATGAACTTTTTTTAAAAAAAATTTTTTTAGTTTTGATGAACCTTTGTTTTATTTATTTATAGTGGTACTGAGAATTGAACCCAGTTCCTCACACATGCTAGGCAAGCACTCTACCACTAAGCTACAACCCCAGCCCCTAAATGAGTTCTTACTGATAGCTTACTTAGAGGATAGAGGAGAGCAGGTCCATATTAGGAAAGACTGCCTATCTTCTTCCATTGAAAAGATGAATCTACAGTTCCTAATCCCAACACCAGATGGCAGTAAAATCAAAGCACAGTTCAGAACTATCATAGTAGTCTGAGGTGGCTGAATGAACTTATGGGAAGAACATGTCAGATTTTAACAGCTCAAAGTAATGCCTCTCCTCTCCGCTTCGTATCAACCTCACCCACCAACTTAAGAAAAACATTACAGGCTGGGGATGTGGGTCAAGCGGTAGCGAGCTCGCCTGGCATGCGTGCGGCCCGGGTTCGATCCTCAGCACCACATACCAACAAAGATGTTGTGTCCTTTAGAGAATTAAAAAATAAATATTAAAATTCTCTCTCTCTCTCTCTCTCCCCTCTCTCAATCTTAAAAACACACACACACACACACACACATTACAACAGGCAAGTAAGCTCGGTATCTTCTTTGATAAAGTGGTAATATTGGCTAACTTACTTTTTCAGAAATACACACAACCACTATATGATAGGCACTATGGAGGATCACCCTGACTCTGAGGAAGTTTAATATCTAAATGAGGTTTGTGACAGAAGGTTCAAAAAGGCTGATGCTGTAATTCAGAAGGAAATATGTATTAGTAGATTAAAAAACAACTCATCTGGGTCTTTAAGGAAAGATGAAAGTTAGATCAATATTGACTAATAGAAATATATTTGAGTTATATATTATAGCCATATTTAAGGAAATAGGTGAAATTAACTTTAGCAATTTTTTTAACTTAACCCAAACTAAATATGTCCATAGTATTATCAACATGCAATCCATTTTTTATTTTTATATTTTTTAGTAACTTTATTTTGTTTACATGGGCACAATATCCCTATTTGTTTATTTATTTTTTCATGTGGTGCTGAGGATCGAACCCAGGGTCTTACACCTGCGAAGCGAGTGCTCTACCACTGACCCACAACCCCAGCCCCTATTTTGTTTATTTTTAAAGTGGTGATGAACCCAGTGCCTCACACATGCTAGGCAAACGCTCTACCACTAAGCCACAACCCCAGCCCAACATACAATCAATATTTTAAAATGTAGTGAGACTTCTGTTCAACATAGTCCTCGAAACACTGGCCAGAGCAATTAGACAGACAAAAGAAATTAAAGGCATAAAAATAGGAAAAGAAGAACTTAAATTATCACTATTTGCAGATGATATGATTCTATACCTA